CGTATTTCGAAAAATTATTACGAATACAGATCCTTAACTATAACAAGGAGCAGTTTAGTTCCAGACATTTTTCGTAAAAACCCCAATCAAAAACAAAATCACATATACACATTATTTAAAAGAAATTAAAGAATACAATTGAAAACTGCTGTACTGTAGTTATATTACAATATATTTAAAATTGTATATAATATTAATATCAAGGGCAGAAATATTACGGTTGTCCCTCAATTTTCCTTAAATCAATATTAATCTGAACCCGTATTACGTTATATTTAGTTTTCTTCTATTCATAGACATTTTTCATTTTACTTTAATTAAGTGGGATTGTTTTCCGACCTTCAGCATAAATTAAGTTTCAAATTAATTTATAACAATAAGGTTTATAACTTGACGTAAGTTTAGCATACAAAATTCGAAACCAGCTGAATTTACGATATTACCGTTAAGTGATCGCTGTAATGTTTTATTAAATTATTACGAAAAATTTATAGCAAATCATGCCGGTTTCAGCAAAAACCTTTTAATAATGTCCGCCTTCTTTATTGGTATACACTTCTTATTGAGAACATAGTAATTATTTGGAAGGACGCACAAATTGTTTCCAATGACCAGACTATATCCTCGACAAGCCTTTACCTTTCTCCATAACAAACTAAGTAGGTACTGTCTGTATATCAAAATATCATGAGAATTTTTTTAACGGATATGGTGCCAAAAGGCACCAAGCTTAGTCACTTTCACATTTATAACGTTAGTTAACATTCTGTATTGGCAGTAAAAAAATATATCTTACAGCAGCTATAATGAAGACGTCGCTCGTTGCAGACTTTCTCAGATTTAACCATTTTTAGATCAACATTTTTCTGTAAATTTATTGGGGAGGCAGGGTAACACGTAGAGCGCATTTCTTTGCCGTCGGGCAATGCGGGGTGGCGGGTGGCAATGTCGGCGACAGAAAGGAAAATACTAACCTGGCATCTCCCAATTTATTTCCAACTGGCTATTTCCCGTGGCTTCAAATCGCCGAACCTGTCAGCTCCCATTCCCATGAGAACCTTGACGAAATTTTTTAAACTGCTTGATATATTTCTGGCTTTATTTGTTATAGCAATCAATCAATAATACTGCCTTAGACTAAGGATAGTTTTTGATGAGAGCCTCGATTAATTTAGTCCTTTTTTTTTGGTAAGTTTCGGTTTTGTTCCAGTTTAATCTGTATTCATTAAATTTATGTTTCTTTATATTCAACTAATAAAATATACATAAAATATAAATAGTATAAAATATACACTGTACTTTTTGGGAATTAACACGCACACTTCGTTGCTTGTTAATTCCCAAAAAATAAACAAGCGAAAGCATTCACTCCAGTACTTGTCAGTTATAGTAAACATCTCCGCTACCCCTTAGGAGCATTAAAGTATGAGTGGCGAAAAATGTCAACAAACTGTAATATGAAACGAAACTACAAACGTAATTTGTTCTATTATGGTATTATAAAATTATTTAAATAATTATAATGACAAGAAATATTCTTTGATGTGATATAACAGGAATCATAATCATTTACTTCTTTTTTTTTAATAATATAACGTGTTATATTATCATGTTCATGAGTTACTATTGTAGTTTATGCTGCTTCTGTATTTCTTTTTTATTCAATACAGTGTTAATTATGAAGTGAAACTGATAAAATACTCCAATATTTACCAGAAGCAAAGAAGTAGTATTTGAAATTTATAAGTTTTTTACACAAGATCTTGTTGACACGGCGTATAAATTCAGCTTTACAGCTACATACAAAAAACATCTAGTCAACAATGCCAATAAGCAAAGTTGTAAATGGCTTGCCAAAGTGACTAGCATAAGCAGTCTTAAAATTAACAAACAATATTCCATCAATATCGTTCAAACCTGTACAAATATAAACAACACACAATCTAAGACGATAATCCTAGATATGGTGAAGGATGACATTGTCGACATAACTTAATAGTTGAGGAAGCTTAAAAGTCGGTTCACTACGGTATATTTTATAGGAATACTTAGTCTGAAGATAAAAGAAGTTCTGTGAAACAACACAGGCAGAAAGCATATTTTATTTGACTAACTTCTTGTAGCTAAAAGATTCTCTGATATAAACAAATTCTTGTAAATACACAAATTGTCGCCAGATGTCATTCGGTTTGAACAATATATATAATATATTATATTCTATATGCGTTTAGAATAATAGTTTGAGAGATAATACTCTACCTTACATACTAACAAAAAAATACGCACACTCTCCTTAAAATATTGGTGCAAACTTCAAAAATTTTCGAGCAAAATGAAATTCGTATAAACAAATAAACTGTTTACTAGAGACGCGACGAATCATCTGATGACGACATCCAATATCTAATAAATCTCATCTCATTACGATCGATCTCAGTTCATTCATACTACTAAAATTATTTCATTGTCATACAAATTCATTACGATCATTGATATTGAATATATATTGGTCAAATGTACTGGATATCTAGATGGCACTGTACAAATTGTCCTAGATTATTATTGCGCTATATACTTTTTAGTATTCTCCCTTTGATGGAGTGAGAGACTTATTCATATTCATGTATAATTTTGCGTGAACTGGCATATTAACAATAGAGTTAATATGCCACTTACTTCATGCAAAATTAATCAATTTATGAATCAGGCAATGACCGTTATAATCGTAACGTAGTAATATGGCATTGCTGTGATGACAGTAGGTATAGCGTAATTATTTTTTCATGGTTTTCTTATATTAGTTTTAATGATGTAGTCTTTATAAAAACGCAACTGCGTGGGATCCTCAGTCTCACCTAATTTTAAAACCAAAGATCTTACATTGTAATGAAATAAAATCGAAAATCATTTATTCATCTAAGACATTTTAGCCGCTTATGAACGTCAAATTTTTTATTTTAATATTTTTTTGCTAATGTCTAGTTTAGTATACAGATTCAAGTAAAAGAACTGGCAAAAAATTCAACTGAATTTCTTTTTTTTAAAGGCAACTTATTTACACTGTGTACTTATGTAGGTGCCTATATCTGACATTAAATGAAAAACCTATGAACTATTGGTATGCACGTTTGTCATTTGTAAAGCTGTTTTTCGGCTGAAATGTGAAATAAGATAGTGAAAACAAGTATAAGAGACAACATATTATTATTATTCAGAAATAGCAATGTACGAGCAATAATAGGAGGGACCCAAAATAACATGGTGAACCCATTGGTCCATATTAATCTTAACATAGAGGTGGTTTATCGTGATGAAATTGGTCCAGTTCATTATTAGCTTCAGCCTTACGCCATTTACACCAACTGTCTTCGCCTTCTGGACAAAATTGATGCTGAGGGTTTTCATCAGTAGGACAGTTCATGAGTTCATGCATATATAGGTAACTCTCACTACTTACCATCAGGTAAGCCGACAGCTTGTTTGCCATTCTATTTATATATACAATAAAATTTTAATGGTTAAATGGCTTTATCATCGTCTTGGTGCCCCGTCAGGCAGCACTAACACCAGGGGGCATCATCATTAATCATCATCGATTAAAAACATTGAATAAAAGAGGATGGTGAAGAGATGTTGGATAATATTATGTATACAGAAACTTTCGACACTGTTGACGTAATAATATCTTCACTATTATGACATAAGTTGCGATATAATTATTATTTAGTTAATTCTCCTCTCGAACATGGATGAATGAATACCTACATGTATACTATAAAAAAATTACTACTTTAATTCTATAATGAACACTTTGCAGACTTTCTCTATTTATTTTTGTTAAAATTAATATAAATAACGATAACATAGGTCACACACAATAAACTGACCTTCAAACATTCAAAACTGGATTGCGTTAGTAGATAATAATAATTTTAAATAACAATAAACTGTTTCATATATTAGGTTACGTAATACATACCTACCTATACATGTTCAGTGTTACCGTACAGTGTGTAATATTGATATTACTAATTTACTGAGGTCAATGACCGGAGAACGTAATATCTGTAGTATCAATCAGTATTAATCCGTAGCAACTATAGTTTGTAATATGTATACGGCTATAGGTGAATTAATTTGTTCCATTGTTTATCTAATGACGTAGCATATACATGTGGTTGTGTGTACATAATGTTATGTTTTATTATTGCCTTCTATATTTTAAAACGAGCAAATATAGTAGTTAATAATACCTACAGAATAAGTTATTTTCAGTGTTCACTTCAATTATCGTATTCAGACACGCCGAAGTATTCCATCAATCAGACTATCATGATGTGATAACTATTTTGGACTTTTACATTATGATAAATTATTTCGTCATTCTGACACGATACAAGTATCTTTATATCAGTAATAAAAAAAAACATTGTTTTGCTTTCAATTACATACTTTAAATATATACCTATAAAGATTTTGTACCTTACCACCCTAAAAAAATGTGAATTTGTGATATTTTTAATACGTCACAAAATATGTATTTCATTTCCAATTAATGCATTGAAGATATACATGGTGGCTACATATATATTTTAACGCCGAATTCTTTTCAGGACGAGCAGAGAAATCTGGGTAAGCGCGCTACATCCTAGGTCTTGCCATCACTTACCATCAGATGAGGTAAGACCAAGCGAAATCCCATTATTAATAAAAATAAAAAAAAAGTCTCTATCTTTAATAAAAAATAACTCTTTTTATACATACACATAAGAGTCTCCCTCTTCACTCCTTGATTAGACATGATCTAACTTATAAGCAACCTCTTTGCTAATTTATTTGCAACAAACGTTCTAACTAGAAACTTGTAACTTTTGTGTACATAAGAAAAAATACTGACTACCAATCTAAAGATCGACAAAGTTTTCACAAAAAACATCGAATTAACAACCTTCTCTTTACAATTTATTGAAAAATACAAAAAAGTAATGTAATTCACATACCTGATGTGGCGAGAAGGGAGGGCGCGAGTTGGGCGCGCCCGGAGGTCCCGGTGGTGGAGGATACCTTTGAGGGTAGGACCCGGGGGGTCCGTATGCCCCTGGAGGCTGTTGGGGTCCGCCTGGAGCTCCAGCTCCGTAAGGGGGGCCGCCATATCCCCGTGGGGGCTGCAACAATTCATTACGTTTTTAATTATTGTAATTATTACAATAATTTTTAAAATTGTATTTAATATATTTATAATTTTATTATATTAAAGATTTTTTATACAGTAGTCTTCAAATAGTTTATTCGTATAAAAACTACCTTTAAAGAACAATATCCTAAAATATGACTATGATATTAAGTCTTTGTTATCCAATATTAACTACATATGAGAATAACATGTAGTTTAACATTTTATATTAATAAAAGATAAATAAAGTTAAAAATGTTATAATTGAAAGTATAGTAGAGTTGAAACCCACGTAATTCCGAACCCGGTTGAAAATATATTATTAACGATAAAATAAATCACGGTACTGACGCAAATATCAATGATGATTGAAAATGATTAGATATATAAATTGAAAATTGCAGAATACTCGTCGAGACATAAGGTTGGTCAAACCTAATCAACCAAAATATTTTGATTAGCAACGATTGCGTTACATACGTTTTAAACAGTCCCATTTCATTACCATGAATATAATTTATAACTAAAAAGTCATATGCCTATAACACATATCATATATAAATGATCTAACATTTATTTACAGCAAAACATTGTTTCTCATCAGTCTGGACTACCAGTTTTACAGCATAGTTCAAAAGAAAACAAAAACAATAACAAACAAACAGAATAAGACTCTCTACCTCGCGATTTGCAATTCGACTGGGAAAGCGAGACCAGATAGAAATTGAATGACTACATTAAAATACAGTATAGTACAAACAGTTGTAATCCGTAAGTACAATTTTATTTATTTCTGCCAATTTCATTCTGTTTAAAATAAACAATCTGAACAGTCTTAAACAATGACGACAAATATAAATGACAACAATATAGACACAAACACTTACATTACTTTTCGACTAGTCACAAATGTAATAAAGATAGATTCAATTTTACTGCCCGAATTAGTCGACATCTTGTCTTTAATTATTATTGTCGTGTTAAGAATTAGACTAAAGTAATTTAAAGCTTGCGATATTCGAACTACTGTTCGTATCTATATCGTATATTCTGTTTATGTCTCTTCTTATTCGATATATTATACTATACACAATACAATATAATAAATACTTGGTATACACACTGATAGTGGTAATAATAGGGGTAGGATTTGTAGTAGTGGCGCTTACGCGTTCTCAAATGAATACTTTTAATTTGCATTAGTTTAATATATAGTTAATTAAGTATACGGCAATCATATAAACAAGATTTATAAACTACAAACAAACGATGTACTTTACACGCCGATACATTATAATAACAGAAACCCTCATATATAAATAGCTTTATTTTGCTCATAAATTTGAAACAATGCTACTGTAATATCAATTTTCAGCCAGATAACGTGTCTAAATAATTGACGTCCGAAATAATTCGCTGTGCCAACAAAGTCGCCCGCTTCAGTTTTCAGTTCTCATTTTGTTATACGATGGAAATTCAATTATTCGTACGAACCCCACTACGACAGGCTGAGGGAACGACGAGAGTTATACGCTTTGATCAAATACTTCGTTTCACCTAAACAGCGATTGGGAACCTTTCGAATGTAGTTCGAGTAGATATGGGACCTGTGTTCGACAATTAGAGTTACATTTTTACGAACATTGGGGTGTTTTATGGCGGATTCAATGATTTATGGGGGCGGTGTTGCGGGGTGCGGTATGCGAGGGGAGAGCTGTGAGGGTTGCGCAGGGTGCGGGCGGGTCGAGGGGCGGCGGGCTGCCATTGGCCGACTCGGCATCGATCGCGCGACGAGTTCAAAGCGGCCCGCCCGCGCCAGCCAGCCTCCACCTACGTTAATAAGTAATCATCCGACCCCGCGATACCTCAGCGAGTTTTCCGGACAGAGCTGGAGCCGCCGAGACGGGCCTCGTATCTCCAGTCGGCTGGAACAAAGAGCCACCGCATAGGGCGACATCCGTATTGATTTATGCAGTAATTGACCCGCGGGTAGGTGCGCAGCCCGCGCACCTCCGCCCGATACGCACATATTTGCTTCTGCACGCACTGATATCTATAATAACCACATATTGCATATTTCTTAAAAAAGGACAATACAACCAATCATTGGGAAAAAAAAATATAAAAACAATCGCTAAGAAACTGCATCACTAACACACTACACTTCCCACGAAGTTAATTTCAAAGCTTAAAAAGTTCAATAAAGATTTGACGGGACGGGATTATGAGGATACATACACTTTGTTAGAGCCAAGTAACTGGGATATCGACCCCAGTTGCTGAGTCAAAACAAACAAAACCGATCCATAATCATATGAGATGGAAGAACGAAAATCGAAAGAATCTTTCATAAACGTTACAACGTATCGAAGCATACATGTTTCTATTGATGACTGATTTTGAATTTCGTATAGGCATGAAATAAACTTGTGCTTTAAGAAAAATATAAGATATTACTTATACTGCAGTACAGCGCACAAACTAACATTAATATGTTTATGGCGCTTGTTTTAGTTTGTCAAATGGTAGTAATGTATTTATAGAATAGATGGACTTGAGTTTTGTAGTAGGTTATATGTAGTATTGTAGGGTTAGGTTATAGGTTATAGTAGTTATTTATTTTTAATATTTCGTATTTTAAATACTTAATTATTTTCTAAGACATTTTACAAATTTATAAGATATCAAAATTTATAATGACAACATAGTAAACTGTGCTAAAATCTATAAATTTTGCCACTACTAGTAATATGCGGTTAAAAAATCTTTGCGAAAAATCTGAAGATAAAATTTCGAATCAGATTGCTAGACTGCATTCGTGTTATATATATAGTAAGTAACGAAGAGTTAGTTCATATTAGGTTAGGATGTATAGTGTGACAAGAATGTATAAGATAAAAATGATTACATTAGAGTAAGAATGGAAGTGGCGCCGGTGTCGGGAGAGGTTGAAGAGAAATCGTCTGTCGTGCTATGAGCATGTAATGAGTAGAAATGAAGATAATATTTTAAGGAAGGTTTTACATATGAATGTGGATGATTATAAGGGAATGGAAGACCGAAAAAGAGATGCATACACTATGTAAAAGATGATGTGGTAAGAAAGGGATTAAATAACAAGATGACTGCGAACAGGGAAGAATGAAAGATGAGGAAGAAGCAGATGATGTAGAGTTAGTTCAAATATGTTGTAAAAAAAGTTAGTTTTTTTAACCTTTCATTTGATTATATACAATAACCAAATAAAAGGAAACGGTTATATAATGGGGAAAGTGGAAGTATATATAATAATATATATATAGTAATGAATAATCTATTTTATATATCTATAGATATAGACTTGATCCATACTATCGTTCTATCCAGATGGATAGAACGATAGTATGGATCAAGTTATAAGCAAATACTTTTATTGCTCTGACCACACCTGTATTAATTACAATAGAGAAAGGAACAGCTATTCTAGAGATTGATAAAAAAATAGATATCATATCAATATAATAAGCTCAAATTATTGTCATCATGGTTAAAAATTATTAGTCATGGTTCACTTTATAATCAAGAAACAGACTCAGATTTCGACATTTACAGATGAACAAGGTTTTAACTCAAAAGCAATATTACTATTGGACCAGACCAGACCATTATTATATTGGACTAGATTCCAATCTCAATGTAGTTGATGATACATAAGGATATAACCTAGTTATAGCAATATGAAATAATTATCTTTTTAGGGTTAATTAAAACACTACAGCAATCTTAGTCGTTATTTTACGTTAAAATTGTATAATGTCTTTTGTTCATATTTCAGACTTGGGGCATTTAAATTCCCAGTGGTGGATAAATAATGAATGGATTAATATTCAATATTAACTAGGACATTGTTAAATTATACGACGCTGTAGATTACACACCCTAATAAATTGGTAAAAAATCAAATGCTTCTAATATCAGAAATTTTGTAGTGGAACATAGGAAAAGATAATAAATTAATTACTATGCAAGCAAGCACAGATATTATAAATCTTTATGGGTGTGTCTGATCTAAAACTCTACATAATATCTAGTAGGCAAAATCTTTTTCATTTTTATTGAGGATTAAGGATAAGGACCATATTTAAATTTAATGTGTAGCTAGCTACAAGACCTAGTTAGCATCTTACTGTAGCATAATGAGTGAATTGCAATAACACAAAACGCGACAGTGCAAGTGCACACCCGTTAGGAATGTGACCGGATTCCGATACGCCGCCGCCAGCTCACCTCGCCGCAGTGGCGCGCTCACCCACTTACATTACTATTATGTCATTACCAATGGCCTAAACATTAACCCTTTAATAAATTCATATTTCACGCAACTACAGACGAACTACAATACAACTAATGATTATTATCATGTTTTAAAACAGGGTGTACCTCAAGGGAGTCTTTTAGGAGCTCTCCTTTTTACAGCACAAACGATAAATGAGTAAACTTTAATATAATAATCTAAGTGCGCTGACAATATGCGAGCTTGAGATTGCGATAGTTGATGTGTTTAGTGCTGTCGACATAGTCCTTTATAAATATTTTATTGTTAATGTATATTTTCATTTCTAAAACAAGTAAATTTTCAAAATTGAATTATCAACTGTTGAAAACTTTACATCTCTTATTAACCTTGTGTACCTACTGATTCACTTTGGTTATGATTAATTAACAAATTTAACTAGTTATTTATAAAATTAATTTTAATTAACAATCTAGGCGTTCCGTTCATTTGGAAGGGTTGTGCTCTTCTAGATTATATATGTAATAATAGATAGTATCAGTTTAATAATAATTAATTAAAAATAACTTATTTAGAGAGAATTATTAGTAATACCGTTGCATGTTCAAGTTGTCAACGTCCGCGATATAACTACGTTATATAATAATCAACCCGCCGTTGTCTGTTTCTCATAGAACAAGATATCCTAATTTGTCTATATGTTCAAAATAGAGCTTGCG